GTGTGTGTGTGTGTGTGTGTGTGTGTGTGTGTGTGTGTGTGTGTGTGTGTATGGGGGGGAATCACCCTCCCCCAGACCCATGAGCAGCCATCACCACCCAGCCCATACCTTCTGCAGGATGAGGTTCAGGCAGACACTCTCTTCCCAGTCGATGTCAGGGTCTCCCAGGCCTGGAAGCTTCTTGGAGTCCCTCCGGTACACTTCCACCTCCACCTCAGGCTCAGCCTCAGCCTGTGGTGCAGGACAGAGGGAGACTCTAGGGTCCACTGGGGCCTTCCGCTCCCTGACTGCTGTACCAGGCCGGTGGCAACATACAAAGATCCCATCCCTAGTGCCCACCTCTTCTTCCTTTGCAGCCCCCGTTTCCTAATCTGTACAACAGAGAAAGCATTTCCCTCTCCAAGTTGTGATAATTAAGAAGACATCATATTTCCCAAGGTCCCAGTGACAGTAACATCTACTGGGCTCGCAGTGGGAAGCAGAGGCTAGGCTCCATGTCATACGAATTATTAACCTTTTATCTGCAAGAAAGGAGCCACTAATCCCACTGTAGCTGATGGGCATCAAACAGGCTAGAGATCACACGCCACACCTCATCAGAGAGAGAAGAGCCCCAGCTACGCCTACTCCAGGCATAAGTAATCAAAAGCAGATTTGAAAGCAAGCTGTCCCGGGAGGGGTCCTGAGCTCAGGGCCCTAACTAGGCCCAGGAGGGTTCCTACAGGGTCAGCACCATGAGACAACAGTCACCTCCTGCTGGACAGCTCTGGGGCGCCTGTGTGCCCGTGGGCCGCTGGCTCAGTGCCCCCCCCCCGGGGGGGGGCCGGGGAAATACCTATGGCACAACTGCACTCCTGTGGTAGGTCAGCAGGACAGTGACACATCTCCATGTGTCACTAAGATACTCAGGGAGCTGCCCAGACACTGACCCACAGGAGGGCAGGTGGGTGGTATAAACACTCAGCAACAGGACTCGGCAACCAGGCTGATCCATCACAGCCACCTGTGTCCACAGGCATGCTCCCAAAGAAGGGACTGAGAAGCAGCCAAAGGATACAGTGCAGCCCCATGTTAGCTCGGGGTAAACCAGCCTCCTAAGTGGCAGAAGTCCAGCTAAGCCCAGGAAGAGAGGGAGCTGCTGGAGCCAAGGCCCCTTGGGCATACTGGTCATGCTGGGTCTCTGGATCTTGAAGGCTGGTGACCCCAGTACTCACACACACAAAAGGCCATCAACCTGGACACCCTTGCATATACATCACAAGTAAAGCTACCAGCTGGATGTGGCGGCACCCACCTTCAATCCTAGGACTCGGGACAGAGGCAGACGGATCTCTGTGGAGTTTGAGACCAGCCTGGTCTATATAGAGTTCCAGGCCAGACAAAGCCACATCGTGAGATCCTGATTCACACACACACACACAAAAGGAAAGCTACCAAAAGAGAAAACACAAGACCGGACGCTGTGGGACCAGAGAAACACCCTCACTGCTCCTGAGCTCTGGTTTTCCAAGTAGGTTTGGGGTGATCTCTGCCCCAGGACCGCTGAGAGTGTCAGTAGGAGGCCACCAGCATAGACAAGGACACAAACAGATGCCAGTGCTCATCAGTGCCAAAGACAAAATGGGCTGCTGAGAACAGGGAGTGTTTCATCCAGGGGTGGCATAACAAGACTGTGCAGAAAATCTAGGGCACACTGGGAAAGTCGGTCCAGATCCCCAACGTGATCCTGCAGCAGGGTGTGTGTGTGGGGGGGGGGCTCCAGCAACCCAGCCACTCACACTGCAGCTCTGGCTCTGCCCACCCACCCTCCTCAGTTAGGCAAGGAGCCTGGTTGGTTGCCACGGCAACCAGTACCAGCAGGATGGGAAAGGGTGGGAGGTGGTGCAGCGCTTGCCGCAGAACACTCCTAGTGCGCAGGCGCTGGAGTCCACATCTCTGCAGCCCTGGCTTCTGTTTCCTGGTAGGTTGGGGTTCCCGGGTGTACCCCCAGCCTGCCCCTTACAGGCCACACCGCAGACTGCCAGGCTGGAAAAGATGTCCAGTCTGAGTGGACTTGAGCTTGCCTGACCCTACGCCTGGTCCTCCAAACCCTGTACCAGACACCACCCAGCCAGCCCTCCCTGGGACCCATGCAGAGGTGCAGGAGGCCAACCATGCACCAAGAGGATGTATGCGGGGAGGGTCCCCACTTCCCAACGCCTATACAGAGCCACCTGAGCAGCAAGACTACCGTTATCCTCGGTCTCACTCCACTGACATCTGGTGATGCTCCTTTCTCCCTGCACATATCACTCTGAGGCCAGCACACCCTGTTCCAGCACAGCTGGGTCAGATGTGCTTGGAATCCTCGCCTCCCACGTAGGTACTATCCCCACCCAGGGTATGTCTTCAGTGCACAGCTGCCCTCCAGGCCCGTATACAGATGTCACCTTTTGTGGCTCCCACTACATGGTGCAGTCCGCCCACCGAGGGCTTCCCAAAGACAGTGGGCAGCCTGAGTCATGTCTGTGTTATCAGTGCTGAGGAAAGAGCCATTGCCATGTGGCTCACTGTTACTCAGCACCCCTGTTGGACCCAGGCTGCCTCCGCTGACCTCAACACCCCCTAAATCTTCACTATGTCTCAACACAACCCAGGGACCCTCCAGCTACAGACTTCTCCATCTTGGGCCCAGGGCTGCTCCTCCTAAGGAGTACCCCTGCCTTAATTCTCTTCCACACAACTGCCATCAACTCATCATCCTACTTTCCTCTCAACCTGGCCCCTCAACAGTACACACAGGCCTGCCTACCCCCTCCTCCTCCCCCTGCATCTCAATGACCTCTCCCAGAACCGCCATGTAGGGTCCACCTGAAAGACATGTGCCTGTCCTCAGAGACAGGCTGAAGTGGCTGGAGCCAGAGGTGGGGTCCACAGTCTTGCTGCTCCAAGGACCTTCATCCCAAGGTAAACCTTGGGTGGAAGCAATGTCCACTCCCAGAGTGACTGGTGCTGGGTCACCAGTATGCAGAGGCTGCCTAGCACCTGTCCCTTCCTGCCAAGGGCACCTCTGTGGTGACATCACCCCAAACATCCCAGCCTCACATGTATCCAATGGGAGGCTTGGCCCTTACCATCTGTTCCAAGTCCCAGAGATGTCTGGGTCTGGGCCACAGCCAGAGTACTGATCAAGGGGAGAAAGCTGGACTCTAATAGCAGTAGGGGGCAGGACTAAGGAGCCCAGGGCTGCCCCCCTACTGAGAAAGTGCCTGCCTCACTGGTACCACTACCAACAGCTGCCAGAGGGACCCACCAGTCAGGTCTCAGTTTTAGCTCTCCCACAGAGCATCTCCTGCTCCACCCACCTGTTACCCCTGGGCCCTAGTCCAGTCCCAGCATCACCCATGTCTCCAGATCCTACCCTCCCCTGGCTCTTCTAACTCTCTGGCCAGTGGTTCATAGGCTCCTTCCAGCCCCCCCCCCCCCCCCCCCCCCCCCCCCCCCGCAGCCTGCCAGGAAAGCCACCAATGGCCTGCTTTGCAGCAAGCACCCAGAGGTGTCCCTCACAGCAGATGCATTCTGCAGACGTGCAGGCCTGTGACAGGAAAGAGCTCCCACGCTCAAGTGTGTGAGCCATAACCAAGAAACCCACAGAGCCTGGGCTGCAGGGAGCTTGGTAGCAGACAAGCTGTTAGTCCCAGACCAGGCTCAAAGCCTGACCACTGTTTATCCTTAAAGGCAAACAAATTATTCCCATGCCAAACATGTGGGCTGCTTAAACATTCTATAAACCACTAGGAAAGCTGGAAAGACAAGAAAGCATGCAAAGTCTGTCTCACGAACTCCTCCACACCGCCACACTTAGAAGATGAAATGCCCTGGGTGAGTCACCTCTCTCTAAGCCCTGTTTCCTCATCTGTCTATTTGCCCAGTTGCTGGGAGTTCAAAAGACCAATGATAGCCCTGAGTGATCCCTCTAGTTTACAGTACGGACCAAGTTAGAGAAGGACAAAATCATCACCATCACTACCATCCATCATCACCATCACCACCATGCATCATCACCATCACCACCATCCACCATCCATCATCACCATCACCACCATCACCACCACCATGCATCATCACCATCACTACCATCCATCATCACCATCACCACCATCCATCATCACCATCACTACCATCCATCATCATCATCACTACCATCCATCATCACCATGACCACCATCCAGCTACTGCCCTGCCCACCCTGGGAAGTGCCCCAGACTTGGGGCTCAAAGTCCTGGACCTCCATTCACTAACTCACTCTAAGAGGCTGGCCACATCAGCTGGAACTTGAGCCTCAGTTTCCTCAAAGACACAATCACTGCTTTTTGGTGCCATGGCAAAAACAATTCGACAAACCCAGAAGTAAGCCACTGGTACCCGTCTCCTGGGTCCCTCAAATGTGCTGGGTACTCAGTGTGACTTTCCCCTCAGCCACACAGAATACTGCAGGGAGGAAAGGAGCCCTACGGGATGTTCAGGGCACAGGTTGGGGGGTGCTCTGGGGGGGGGCCACTCACCTTCCTCCCATCGACGCCGCTCTCACTGCTCGGGTAGGCTCTCTTCCTGCGCACGTAGAAAAGCATGTCGTCTTGCCTGGGGGCCAGCTTCTCCATGAAGTAGGTGGAAAACATCCATGTCCAGAAGACGATTCGGTCATCCTTGAAGCACCCTACAGGAGGAGGCCAGAGGAGTGAGAAGGGGCCCTCCTGGCCCTGGCTCTGACCTTGGTCAAACCGGGTCCTCCCCACCTGCATGTCTGGTCAGAGGTCTGACAAGGGCTGGGATGCTCTGCCCCTTTCTCCCTGGGCGCCCCCCACCCCCACCCACGGGGATCAGAGAGGCTGGGGATGCCTCCCCGGAGGAGGCCGAGGACTCCACCCAGCGGCAGCCAGGGCTGCCAGGCCCCGCTGGCTGCCGAGCTGACTCCAGCCAGTGAATGATTCAGCGGCTTGTGAGGGAAAGGAAAATCTAGAAGCTGTGAGGACGTCACTGGCGAGCTGGCTGGGCTGCAAGGAGAAAGGCTTTGCTGGGGAAATCTTCACCGCAGACATCCCTAGCCCTCCCCCTCAGGCTGCGGCAATCCCAAGGAGAACCCGACTTAAAGGGACAGCCAGCGCATCTCAGCTGCAGGCAGGAAGGCCCTGGGAGAATGCCAGACTGATTCCCATTATCCCTTCAGCTTTTTTTTTTCTATTACAAAGGGTATTTCTGCATGATAAATGTGAAATCATTTCCTGTACAAGATAGAAGAAACCGCCCCCCCCCCCCCAAGTTTCGGTAAGAAAAAAAATCTGGGTTTCCTCTTCAGCGCTGCCACTTTATTATGTGACAGGGGACAGGTGGCTAAGCTGCCGAGCCACAGGCTCCTTTCGGCTACATGAGGATGAATGGCCAGTGCCTGGCACAGAGCAGGTCAGGAAATTCGGGCTTCCTCGCTCTAGATGGATCAACAAATTGTCACCCTGTGCTACTCACCACGTTAAACCCGAGTTTCTTTCTTTCCCATTTCCCTAAACCATGGAGACCCAGCCCTAGTTAGTGCCTTACTTACTTCTGGGAAGGTCTACGCTGCAGGACACCCTTCACCATCCTCAGAGGTAGTCAGTGGCCAGACCAGGGGCTTCTGGCAAGGAGAAGATGCCAGGCACATCACAGAACCGGGACTCAAAGGCAGCCCTTCCCCTCCGCCCTCGACAGACAGCAATGTGTGGCCCAGCCAAGCCTGCCTGGCCCAACACATGGGCAGTGGGAGGGGTCAGCACACCTTGCCAGCCTCAAGTGAAGAGGGGCAGGCTCACACACACACGAGGTTGCAACATCCACTGGCATCGGACATCCCTGCCACCCCTTTTTTTTTTTTTTTTAAGATTTATTTATTTATTTATTATGTATACAGAAGAGGGCGCCAGATCTCATTGCAGATGGTTGTGAGCCACCATGTGGTTGCTGGGAATTGAACTCAGGAC